CCCTTAGCAGGCAAGATATTTGATCACTTTATCTATTCCTCTCCAATTATGTGAGAAGATGGTTGGTACCAATTGCCTGGCAATTGTAGTTTAATTTACCAGTGGCATGAAATTATTTTAAGACATTCGTGATCTCCTAGATGCTCAGAAAATGTACGAGACCCAGCACTGAATGGAAGACTGGTTTGTCATATTTTTCTTCTGATTAGAAACAGCCTCAACTGTTAAAGATTTTCTTCTACCATTTTTTAAATCTCTTTTCACCTGCACTCCTGAACTCATGTTATGCTACAGAAAACTGCCTGTAGCTGGCACTCTGTACATGCTTTACATGCAGTAACACATTTAATTCTTACAGCAACTGTGTGAAATAGAAAGTTTTATTTGGTTTGTTTTACAAACAAGGAAGCTGAGGCTTAGTGAGATAAAAAGAATTGCCTGAATTCAATAGGCACTAGAGTTGTAACCCAACCCCAGAAAGTACTTTATCTGTGGTTGTTTTAATGACATGATCTTAAATATCATTGGTGCCATCCTTTTACTTCAAGATTAATAAGAGTTCAATAATCAGCAGATTTCTATTTTTTGTTCTGTTTAATGGTAACCTCTAAGTGTAATTGGGGAGGAGGAAAAGAGCACCAGGTGAGAACCAAGCCTAACAAGGCAATAAACCTTGAACACTATTGGTCCAATGAAGCCAAATGAATTACTGAGATTTATTAGGCCTACTAGTAGTGGAGATATTTGAGAAACAAAGGAAAGATAGAGAGGTCATATTTTTTTTAAAGTCTATCATCAGACTTCTGAAGATTGGTGTTGAAATAACTGTCATGCATTGCTGATACATGCTCATCCTGCTTCTACTTTGCACATCCACTTGCCTCTAGGATCCCTCCCTGGTGTTCATATCCACCCTGTTTTTTCTGTCAGCTGTCCTCACATTCACACGCTCTACTGTGCTCCACTTGCTCTGCTCCTACTTTCACATTCCAAATCAATTGGAAACATAGGGGATCAATTCTTTGCTGCAAATCATTGTTGAATAACCTGGCACCAGTGCTCAACTCTCATGATTCTTAAGTTCTGGGTGATGTGCCCCAGCTCGCCTGGCCGTAAGTCACCCAGAGATCCTCCTTACATACTGACTTTCTCCACTTTTGTTACCATCTTTTTAGGGAAGATGGGTGTAAACATTCACAGAGAATCTATGAATATTCCTCCATGTTTGGAGCTCACTCATATATTTTCTGTTAAATATAGTTCTTGATCTTTAAATTGGCATTTTTTCTAAATGTTATTTCTTTCATCTATAACAACTTAATTATGCCTGATGACTCAGTAATGATAAAATATGCATAAATTAAAATTGTACTTAGACTAGTTGTTTATTAGCCATAATCATGCTTGAGCAGTAGTTTATATTTGCAAACAGGCACTTTAATTTATTGCAGTTTTTCATAGGCCTAATGAAGCTGAAAGCATCAGTCACAAACTGTTTTTATTGACACTAAAGCCTTCTGACAATAGGATGCTTTTGCAGAATTTATGAGAAAGGGAGAGTTATCCTTTGGGAATAACAGAGGACCTGCTATGTGGACTCCTCCCTGGAAGGCCCCTCTCTTTATCTTTAACTTACTATGGAGTTGCTTTTATGAAAAAAAAAATCATGAGTTTTGTTGTCTGTTTAGATGCAGTTTTAATCCTGGCTGGGTGACTTTGTGAAAATTATCTCTTTCTCTGTTTTCTTATTTACAAAATGGGCACAGTAAAAATAATGATAGTAATTATATCAACCTCATAAAACCTTGTAATAATAAAATGAGACATCATATGCAAAATGCCCAGAAGTGGATCTGATGTAGATTAAGGTATCATACTTGGAAACTTCCACTACATTTTATATATATATATATGTAATATAAATGCTTTCCACCTGCAAAGCCACTGTCTTTCCCTTCTCAACCTTCACCTTCATGTCTATAGGGTATGAAAATCAATGCAACTAATCTTCCCAAAGTTTGAATTATTTGACCTGGAATTACACCATAAAGCAGAATACATGTCTGTGAGTGTGCACTGTGCCTGTGTTTGTATGTGTGGTGTGCACGTGTGGATGCATTGTGAAGGAAGAGGCACCAGTCATGTTCTCTCTCAGTGTGAAGTAAATTCAATGCTATCCATGAATAAACATGAATTAACACCCCCTTCATTTTTTTAATTGTCTGCAGTTTTCTTTTTTTTTTGTTTCCTAATATAACACTTGGACAGAACACACACACGCACACTACCCATGTATGTATCCTAAAGGTAAACAGTAATTTTCAGAGTGAGTACAATATAATTGAAATTGACTGAGAGTGGGGGAAGAGATGTTTTCCCAAAGGCGTAATTATTTACAAGTGTCCCTACCCAAATGAAGACAGCTTTAATATCATTATGCAGAACCATTTTAATTAACACCATTTTTTTTCCCATTTAACGTCCTTTCTCTGCACTCCTTACAGGGCCTTAACTGCATTTCAAAAGGAACCAATTATACCCTCTGTGTCAAGTACTAGTAGCATATGTCTTTTGACTATGTAATAAGCATTTGCTCTCAGGAAAAAGTAGTTCATTCAAACAGGATAACCAGAGGTAATTAAATGGATAATTTACAAAACAGTGGACTGGGTGAATGTGAGCTACTGATACCTGGACTAGTGACAGGCTGGAGCCTGAAAGCAAGTAGAGGTAGGAGCAGTTATTAGAACTTGGAGGAAGTAGCAGTAAGAGGGTTCCACTCCACAAGAACTGTGGCTTTTGATAGGGTGGGGAGCCAACTTGTGGTGATCGAGAGGAAGAAATCTGGTGGAGTAAATCACCTGATTTCTCTCTCTCCTCTTGCCATCATTTTTCTTCCATTGTGTGCCTCATTCCCCATTGGCCAAACCTAACCAGAAGTCAGTGGATAAGCAGACTAGTAATACACTCCTTCTATGGGCAGCCTCCTTGTTACAACGCAGGTAAATTAGGGCAACCAAAAATGGAACAGATGGAAAAGATTCCACACATGTACTTAACATACAGTTTGAGATCATGCAATGTGTTGGTCTTTCCTTTTTTCCCTTATCTCATTAAAATGATAGAAATGAATTTTAAAAGTCCTAATTCCTTGTCAAAAACAAAAGGAGGGGACCATCAGTGGACGAGAGATCTAAATTCTTTTATGGAAGGCTTAATGGACAAAGACTAAAGAGTAGAGAAGCTGATGACCTCACAGGAAACAATTACCTAACTTAACAGCAATATGGTTGGCAGTAGAAGAAACCATCTACCCAGGAAGACACTTTAGAACATCAGTGGCTAGCCTGATGGCAGGCAGGAATGAGCAGTGGGACTGAAAAAAAAAGGGTTATATAAAGCCTTTAAATAATCGGTAGACATGTAGAAATAGCAATATAATTATAAAAAATTGAAAGGTGGTGCAAAGTAAATTCTCATCAATTATAGAGCAGAAAATCAATAGATAATGTCTAAAGTTAATCAAAAAGTAATGCCATAAGCATGTTCTTTATAGATTTGGAGGTAACCACAGGAGAACTAAATATAGAAACAGTTCATAATGTTTGGGAGGAGGATAAGAAATGGGTTGTAGGTCAACTGCTTCCCATTATATATTTTTGTAATAATGATTTTAAAAAAAACCATGAATAAATAATTTAGTAAAGCCTCCTTTTAGTTCCCTTTTGTTTTACTCCACTTAGTTTACTAGATTTCTAAAACTTTCCTTCTTAACATGCTTAGGTCTATTATCTGTCCCAAACCTACAAATTAATTCCATTTTCTCCTATACTCCCCACTTCTCTGTTTTTTTATAAACACCTTCTTATGCTCATACACAAGTCATACACACACATCAGCCTTCTGAATGCACTTGCAGGTCTTTCTCTGTAAATCCCATGCACCATGCGTCTCAGTGTCTTTTCTCAAACTGTTTATTTGGCTTGAAATGGCTTCAGCATTTTTTTATTCGGCCTTAAAGTCTCAGAATAAAGTCTGCCTCCCGGCTGAGCTGCCCTTGCTTTCCAGGGACATGCATGTTTATGCTTTACTCTGTATTCTCCTAACACTACACCCCAGTCTGACTCTTATTGCTCTACAATTAACTCAGAACTGCTTGTGTATCTATTGGCCTGTTCTCTTTCTGTTTAATTGTAAGATGATGAATTGATTTCTTCATAGCTAATGTAATATATTTCACATAGTAATTGAAACAGTTGATCCCCACTATAACTATAATTGATTTTTGCTGTTGTTGTTGATTCTAAAGGCATATAAAGTTATAAAATGAATGCTACAACACATGAAAGTGAACATCAGCTGTCCTTTTATCAAGACGCCTATTAATACTTTTGCTTCTTAGAGAAACCATGAAACAGACAATATTCTGTCACAATTTTAGTGCCTCTTTCCTAAATTTCAATTACATACATATTGTCTCAGGTTATAAGGAATAAGAAATCTAATAAACCAATATCCATAAACATGTTACTAATGTAGTACTTTTTATGAACGTTTGCATTGTAAATAGTAGCCTAAACAGGAAAATGCCTTACCTGAGAGAGTGACTTGCTACTAATAAAATGCTAGGGCCCTGAGCTATTGTTTTGAGATGAAAGAGGATTTCTGTAGCCTCTCAGATTATGCCATGTAACTCTTATGCCTTAGGCAACATGGATTTAGAGTAATTTCAAACATATTAAGACAGCGGGAAACAACTTTAGCGTATTAGAACACATAGATTTGAAATCACAATTTTAAGTGTAAAGTGTCTATCTCTAGAAGTAAGATTGAGTGTTAATCCCTGATTTTTGCTTGTTGTTCTCATTTCCCAGGGAGTCTTTCCACGTGTTCTTACTCCACTTCTTTTTTTTTTTTTCTTTTCAGTTTCTATCTAACTCTGGGTTTTTTTCTGCAACCATATAAAAGGGCACTATAATTTTATTTTTTCTTTACTTCAGGGAATGCCACAATAAAACAGTCTCGATACAGGATTATCAATCAAGAAGCAGCTAATGGAGGTCAAGAATGCCCAGATACTTTATTTGAAGAACGAGAGTGTGAAGATGTCTCATTATGTCCTGTATATCGGTAATTAGTTACCTTTTTGAATAATCATTAAACTGCAATATAAATCATGACTTACTTTCTTTCATATAATATATGGTTATTTAGTGAGAGATGAGATAAGGTAATGCTGTTTATCTTCAAATACCTCTATGTTTTCCCTTCCTATCTGGAATATATTTTGAGGGAGTAAGGAATATGAAAGTCTATAAGAAAAAGGAAACATTTTGATTGTACATGAGCTTCTGGAGTTCTGCCACTCAGGAAGTCAGTTTTTAAGATCATGATTTACGGAGAGTCAGGATGAGGTCTTTACCTGAAACATACACACACACACACACACACACACACACGAGAATGCACACAAAGGTAACTTACCTCATTCTATTGTTCTCATCCTAAAACCTTTTTACCAAGAACCACAAACCAAAAATTTGTACATATTTAATAAGTATTTTAATTCAAACATTTCAAAAATGTTTGTAGGTCTTAATTTTAATTATATACACATTTTAGGAAAACGTCCAGTTAGGGGAAACTAAAAAAAAAAGGTTTAACCTATGGATATATTTTTAAAGAAAATGAGTAACTTTTAAAGTATAAATGTTGCCTATATATTTTTCTTGGTGAGTTTGTGGTTATTTATAAAAAACAATACCTGAGGTTTGTGTGTCTAGTCTTAAATTTCCACTCTTTTAACATTGGGGTTTAAACATTGCTTTAAAGGACATTTGGATTAAATTCACTGTTGGGTTTTACTGATTTGTAAAGAGTCCCATGGTCTTATAAACATATGATTATTGAACACTTAAAAATGCCTTTAAGTGTTCTTCCTGGATATTTGAGAAGCTATATCTTAAACCCATGAAATTCAAGGGCTAATTTATTCAGAATAATACAAGTTATATTTTTCTTCTTTTAAGGAGACTCCTTACATTAGATAAACTTTAGGGTATCATTGAAAAAATCTAAATTACTACCCATTTGATCATCCCTTTACTCCCATTGTTTCAACGTGATGACCAGTTTGGGGAGGATGTAGGTAACACACTGGGGATGTGCCTAGGCTACTGGTTTTTTCTCACCAACCACAGGGCCATTAAGAAAACACTGTCTATATCTATACTTTTGTGCCACGTATATAAATATAAATATAAAATATCAAAACTTCTGAGCCCAGTTAAAGATCCCTTGGGAATAGTGGCCTTTTGAAAAAAATTGGCCATATAATATATTATTACATATTTTTATAAATGTAGGGCTATTATAATCAGGGAAAATCCTAGGAACTATTAGTGGGTCTTCTTCTCTATCATCCCCTCTCCTGACTCTCTTGCTGCACTTCGTTTAGGCACTCATGTTTGAACTAGTTCCATCATTGGCCTCCCACAATTTTCCCCAGAAATCAGTTGCACTCTGTATGGACTGAATCATTGTTTCATTTCTCCTGATGTGTATAGTTTAATTTATGTCCAAGTTATCAGTATGACTCTCTGCTCCTTGGTAAAACATCCTTGAGTTTTGAGTAATATGGTTCCAGTTTAGTTTTTTTCTTTCTCCTTCATTGGCATTTTAGAGAAGTAAGTTAATGTAGACCTTCATTAATTTCTTGTGATTCTTCTTTTTGACTCCATTGAGGTGACATGTCCACACACATTTACCAAATTAAAACAGAATCAAATGTTCACAGAAATATTTCTGTGAGTTTGTGCATTTTCCAACAGGTTAGTAAGCAAAAGGGAAGACAGCATGGGCAAGTATCCTTATATGAAATTGGCACTGGTGTGTGTTGCTGAACACCCAGGGATCTAGGGCTGAAAACTGGCCTGCTCTGACTCGTGCAGCCTCAGACATGTCACTTGACCTGGGCTCAGGTTTCTCGTTCCACCACTGAGAGTTTAAATGGAGAGTCGTCAAAAACCCCTTCCTTCTGTTTCAGTCTACACAGAACACTAAACTGAGATTGAATTCCTTGGTCTCATTTTGGTTTAGAAAACCCATGTAAATTTAAGAGATCTGAATGAATGACATATTTTAGTTAAAAACTTGGACTAAAACCCTTTACCATTTCAGTTTCTGTGTTTTGGAATTATGCTGAATGAGTCTATGCATATACAAAATAAATTTAGAACTACTTAAAATCAATAGGTGCTTTATTTAAAAGCGAGAATTTTTCTTGTGTTTCCTGATTTATTTCCAGTTCTTCCCTATATGGAGGCCACTTAAATAAGGTCAATGATATATTTGTTTTGCTTTCATATTTTAATGCACTGTGCTTGATTTTGCAGGATAGCCTGTATCACTCCCTTAAGACCACCTCTGCCTCATTTACCTCCAATTGTCCAAGTGACTCATTTAATCTAGAGGAATGAGAGGAGGTTGTGAGTCCTGACATTAATGGCTGGCTATGCTATGCACTATGTCAGCTATGTCCACATAATTAAGAAGGTTCTTTAAAGTGACTTTTTCTGAGCAAAGAAGCCTACTCTATGACTATCTTAACCATTTTTAAGACACATTATAGTAGCATTAATTATATGCATATCATTGCGTGACAGATCTCTAGAACTTTATCTTGCAAAACTAGGCAATGATATTTTACTTCATACTTCTGTTTTATTCTTTGAAGTAGCATCTTTTATCTGAGGTATTGGATTATGTGAAAAAGTATAAAAATATACTAAGCAAAGGAGCAGAATCTGTGGCTTCACTTAAGGTTTGAGTTTTGCGTAACAGTCCAAAGAGGCAGGTTTAAGGACACAAGTCAACGTTTTGTCATGTGGGTCATAAAAATAAAGAGTTTTGTTGAACTGAGAAGAGAAAACCAGGGAAAAGCCAGAAGGTGTCCTTAAAGACTATTTCCCCAGAAGAATAGAAATATTGGTAATCATGAGAGGCAGACCAATTCCTCTTCCTTGGAATGAACTATCACATAAATAGGTACCCACATCTCTCCCACCTCCCTTTTACTTTACAGTCTATTGAGTTGTTTTGAGTTAAAGTCCTAAGAAACATATTTTTAAAAAAATTGAAGTGGAAGATCAAGAGTGGAGGCTTGCACCTGAAACTTTCAGATGTTCAAAACTTATTTCTCTAGTGCTCTAATGGAATATAAGAATGGTCTCTTTTTTTCCTAACAACTTTAAGTTCATAAAAGCTAAGCCCTCTAGAGTTGATCTGTGCTTCTAATGCCTTTTATTGCCACTTTGCTATATGAACTAAGGTTTCTGTGCAAAATGTCCACATTTAAAAAAAATGGAATTATGGCATTAACCATGAATCTGGGACAGAGTGGACTATTATCTCAAGTGTGTGCCAGGGCTCCTTGTTATGACATCAGTTTCAAATCCATTTTAATTGAATTACTATCTTCATGCTTTTTGATTTCAAACTTATCCTTGTCAAGTATTTCTTTTGTATGTTTGTCAGGTGAGATTTCTAACTCACTGTTCTTCGTAATCACAGGTGGAAGCCACAGAAATGGAGCCCCTGTGTCTTAGTGCCAGAGTCTGTCAGGCAGGGAATCATGAGCACCAGTGAAGCCTGTGGAAAGGGAGTGCAAACAAGAGGTAAGAGGATTTCAAAACTTTTAACCTTAGAATTAAGCTTAAAATTACGTTATTCTTATAAACTATTGATTATAAACTATTGAATAAGTTGTGATAGTATTAGATTGGCTTATTTATTAGTGTTTGAATTTAAGTTTGGCATTAGTTAATGCTGATATTAGACCATCTTTTAACCATAATCAGCTAGTGCATCTTAAGGACTCATGCAATGTAAGCAAACATCTGCTCTCAGTTATCAGCATACCCAACTGCTCTCAAATGCATGGTGGGTATTAGCCAAGGAATGAAGAATATGTCAAGATTAGACCCAATAGTTTACAGTGTACTTCTTAGGTACATAAGATAATTAAATATTTATCAAATGAATGAAAGGATAACAGACTTGAATAATTCTAATAATCATGACTTAAACCTTAGTGTTATATAAATATACATTTATATATTTGCTATATAGTTTATATATAATATATGTAGAAAGGAGCTATTAAACTTTCTAGAGGGCATTGTGAATAGGTTTCTGGATCTGAGGAATAGTGTCTTTTATCATCAATGTCTAGAAGGTGTGGCATATGGAAATCTCTAAAAAGCACTCAGAGACTCATCAGACTGCTTACTTTTGTGCTTCTTTTACAGTCCAGGTGCTAATACTATGAGATTTGAGAAGAGGTGCTTTGATCTTAAAATCTGACCACTTTGTCATTAAAGGGTTTTGTGTAGTGAAAGGAGACCTTGTGGAACCAACTGCATTACACTGGTTTCATAATTTTTCTAAAAGTCATACTTAGAATGAAGTTTCTTTTCCTGTTTCATAGGTTATTGTATTAGTCAGGATCAACCATCCCTGATAGCACAGTAAATATCTTTTCTGTTGATTCAGAGGCATGAAGAGCCCAGCATGGTCAGGTAGCAGTCTTAAATTCCAGTTCAGTGTCATCATTGATATGTTTCTTAGCAGAAGCATTCCTATCTTTGGAATCAAGACCTATTGGCCAACAGAACATAAGATCAAGGGGACCGAAAGCAAAAATTTTACTAGTGGGACACTAGGGATAAGAGTGAGTTGTATGTTTGTTAAAATATGCCACTGAGTCAGCTTGTCCAACTCCTAGTGACTCTATTGTCCATAATATCCTGTCCTCAATAGCCCTCTTCAGCTCCTATGGATACACACTTGTGGCTTATTTTATGCAGTCCATCTCATATTTGGTCTTCTTTTTTTCCTGTTGTATTCTATGTTTGCCACTATTAGTGTCTTTTCCAAAGAAACCTGCATTCTCATCATGAGCCTCAAGTATTATAACTTTGGTGTTGTCATTTTTTTGCCTCTAGCAATGTTTCAGGCTTAGTTTGTTCTAGGAACCACTTGTTTATCTTTCAGGTGGTCCAGGGTATCCGTAGAGCTCTCATGCAATACTATATTTAAAATTAATCTGTTTTTCCTATCAGTTTTCTTCAGCATCCAACTTTTGCATTCATACAAAATAATTTGCGTTATGAGGGCATGGATGATCTTAGTCTTGGTCTCTAATGACATGTCTTTGCTCAAATGATCTTTCTTAATTTTTCTATTGCTATCCTTTGATAGCTATGGGAGAAACAACATTATTGACTGCTGAATCAGAGCATTTCTAGCCTTCTGGAAAACCTTGTCCCTGCTCTGCAAGATATTGCCACATAGCTGGCGCTATAACTAAGTCTTAAAAAGACCTTTCCACCATTCCATCAAGTCAGCTGCTTCAGGATAATGTGGAATATGGTGAGACCAGTAAATTCCATGGGCCCTTTGCAACATTTAATTTGCTATGAAGTGAGTTGCTTGGTCAGAAACAATGCTGTGTTGAATACCATGACTGTAGATAACTCATTCGGTTAAGTCCACAAATGGTAGTTTTGGCAGAAGCATTGCAGCAGGGAAGGCAATTTCATATCCAGAATAAGCCTCTATTTCAGTAAGAGCAAAATGTTCCTCCTTCTATGATGGAAGTGGTCCAGTGTGATCAACCTGCCACCTTGTTAGCTGGCTGCTCACTCTGGGGGATGGTGCCAGATTGGGATTTCAGTGTTTGTCCCTGCTGCTGGTAAATTGGATGTTCTGTGGTGAGCATAGCCAGTGAGACCTTGGTGAATGGAAGTCCATGTTTCTGACTCCATCTAAGAGTATAACCTCTATTTCCATCATTGTGGCTACTTTGTTCATGAGCCCTTTGGGTGATGGCAGGTACAGCTGGAGAAAGAGGCTCACTGGTATCCACCCAATAGGTAATCCTATCCACATGACTGTTAAAATTCTCTGCTGAAGTCAACCTTTGCTGAGTATTTACATGGGATATAAATATATTCCCACTTTTTGCCTGTACAGAGAGGTCTGCCTGCCTACCTCTTCCCTAAATTTCCTTGCCACCAAGTTTATGATAAGATTCCTTTCATGACCCTGACCTTCCAGAAAATCCATTGGTCACAGTCAATGAGTCTATATATAGTCACACATATGACCATTTCTTGTTCCAAACAAAATGAACAACCAGGGGCACTGCTTTAAGTTCTACCCACTGGGAAGATTTCCCTTCACCTTTGTCTTTCAGGGGCTTTTAGAGAGGTGTATAGTGCTTCAGCTGTCCATTTTGGGGTTGTACCTACATATCGTGCAGAACCATCTGTAAACCAGGTCTAAGTCTTTTCTTCTGTCAACTGATTATAGGGAACTCCCCAGGAGGCCTTATTTGCATCCCCGGGAGGGAGAAAGTAGTGTGGCAGGAGTGAAGACCATGGCTATGTGCCCACTTCTTCATGTAACTAACTTGTGCCTTCAGGGCTTGCTCGGGCCCAATCAGCCATATTTCTATATCATCTATGTCTATATCTATATCATCTATATCTATCTATATCTATATATCTATATCTATATCTATATCTATCTCCATTTTATTTAATAATGGAGTACTGTGGTATACACCCTACTTTATAACTTAGTAGATCAGATAACACCCAATTCACGAGAGACAACTTGAGTTGCATAATAACTTGATGGCCTATGGTTAAGCTTTCAGTCTCTAAAGTAACCATTACTGGCCAAAGGCCATTTTTCAAAAGAATAGTAGTTATCTGCAGAGGATGGTGGGGCTTTTCTCTAAAACCCTAAGGACCTGCACAGGGATTCACTTATAGCAGCCTGCCAAAAGCTCCAAAGAGCATCTTTATTTGATACTACTACTTCAGTGCTGTTAGATCTGCTGGATCATATGGCCCAACAGGCAGAGCAGCATAGTAGCCTCAACTTGTTTGGGAGACTTTCTTATTCTGGGTGCCACTCAAAACTAGCATTTTTTCTGGTCACTTGGTAAATGGTCTGGAATAACACACACAAATGAAGAGTATGTTGTTTCCAAAATCCAAAGAGGCACTCTAGATGTTGTGTCTATTTTAGTTTTAGGAGGGCCAGATGCAACAACTTACCCTTCACTTTAGTTCACATGCCCCACGACACTGAACCTGTAGAAATTTCATTGAGGTAGAATGCCCCTGATTTTTTTCAACTATGTTTCCCACCCACTGACAGGAAAACATCTTATCAAAATATCTACATTAGTTGCTACTTTTTGCTTTCCAGCTCCAATCAGCATAATGTCATTAATGTAATGGACAAGTATGATATCTTATTGAAGGAAAAGACTAATTACTATAACACAAACTAAATTATGAAATAGGACTGGAGAGCTGCTATGCCCCTTATATAGGACAGTGAATGTGTACTGCTGGATTTTCCAGCTAAATGCAAACTGCTTGTGGTGGTACTTATTACCTTCAAATATGGTAAGACTTGGGGCTATGGCTTCAACATCTGTTTTGGGGGTACAACTCAGTCCATAACAGTTGCACTTTGAAAATGATGCCTCCGTCATAAAATTTACAGATTGGCAAGGTTGTTTGATATAGGACAGTGATGAAGTTGTACAGTCAGTTACTCTGTGTAGATTATAAGGGTCAACTTCCTACAAATAATTTACTTCCATATGTCAGAAAATTTTTGTAGTGATATGATCTTGTTGTTATGAGACTTTTTGCCTACTTTTTGCTAGAAAATTGTTATAAAATATCTTATATTGGCAATATCTACATTAATATTTTTTAAATGACATCTTTGTGTGGTACACAACTTTATATTATGATCTGGATTCAATACTACAATATCAGAATGGTCGGTTTTTATTATAAAAATGTTTAATAAATTCTTTAGAAACACGACTTCTAAATTAGGGACAATCATATTGCATAAGTGAAAAATCATTTCATGTGTCTTAGAAGGATTTTACTTTGGATTTCAATTTAAGTCCTGATAGTCCTATAGGCAAGTGATCTACTTGAGTTTCCCCCAAAATAAACATCAGCATTAGAGGATTTTTAGTGTTTAGTTGTGGAGAAATTTGTACTTTTATTTCTTCTCATTATTTATTTTAATCCTCACCTGAGGATATTTTTACTGATTTTAGAATGAGAAAGTGATGTGGGAAAGAGAGAGAGACATCCATGTGAAAAAAAATGGGCAAAGTAATTCACTTTCAGAATAAGTTCTCAATACTTTACTTTTATGAAGAGAGGGGATTATAAAATAGTAGACAGGAGTAATGTTGAGAAATGGCAGTGTAAGAGATTCCCGAGGTTTCTCCCCTTGAAGTTTCTATAATTTGAACAGCTGTAATTCAACAAAGCATTCCTTTTTCCATGCACAAACCATGTCTGAAACATCTGCACATTTTAATATCTAAATGTGGGCAAGTGGGAATGAACCATTAAGGTGAGAATGAAGAAAATCTGAGACAAGGCACAGACACAGTCCCCAAGCTGGGAACTCATGGTGGGGCTCAGCACAAAGAGGAGAGGAATCAGGTTGTGACCAACATTCTTTTTAGTCAGAAAGAACAGAGATTTAGGGGGCTTTCCTGCAGGAGTGGACAATACGAGCTATAGCTAAGTCCAGAGACCTGAGCAGGGATGAAACACAG